TTTCTATGCTTCTACGTACTGACATGCAAAACTGAATGAGAGCACTAAGCTCAGCAGCTGCCAAGTACCTACTAACTATTTCATTCCCATGCTGTTAAATGAAAGAGCTGTTAGCACTGAGCCTTCAAACACTTGCTAATCCCTCCTTCTCCAAACAGAGGGCAAAGAAATTGGTATGAGCTTTGACACAAACACTTCTCATGTTCTGCAAGTAGATGAGGGCAGCAACTACTGCTGGAGAAGAAATTACCAAGTGATACAAGAATTCACACATTTTCCCTAACAGGCTAAATATGGCACTTGGTGTATAAACTCAACACAGACAACCAACCTATCAGCATTTCTCAAACTCCTGTTGGCCCTGCAAGCAGCACCATGTGAATACTATATACACCAACCTAGACAGCATGAAAAAATGAGCTTACCTCCTCAGGACTCTCATCCAGCTCTAGTGTCTCATCCTCTTCACTGTCTTTTCCTGTTTCTGGTGAAGATCCTTTGCTTTTCTTGGACTCTGGCTCACCACGGTCTTCTAGCTGTTCACAGACAAAATCCATAAGAAATAACTTAAACCACAAGAACTAAGGCGTATCAGTTCCCATCTCTGAATTTATTCATGCTTCATCTCCCTGGAGCAACAAGTAGTTAGTATACAGGGCAACAACAGTGGCCTACAGTATGCCTGTAAGCACACAATGCTCCACGTCCTGCCCTCCTCATCCCACTAAACTGTCTTCTCCAGCTGTAATCCAGAAGGCCAGAAGATCACACTCTAGAAAGTTTGTTCTAGAAGTTCTTGCAGCATCACATGCAAACTCAAAATACAGAAGACATCAAAAGTCTAACTCAAGAGCAGCTTCTGGACCCCTCAGACAACAAAGACACCACTTCAGTTCTGTTTCCCAAAACAGCAACCAGATTTAACACGTTTCAGACCCGTTTTTGTCCAAAGATAAGCACCTGGGCAAGGGCGCGAGGGGCTACAGAGAGGATATCTTACCTCCTGGATGTAAGTGATATCCCAAACTCTCAGTTCACTGTCAGCACTCCCAGTGATCAGACGTTTCTCTTCAGATAGCAAAGCCATCCCCCAAATCTGCTCAAAAGCACAATGAGAAGAGCTGGTTTGTGACTTCTTTGACTATCATAACAATACCAGAGCATCCTTAATTGATTTATTTAAATGGGAACCCAGAGAAGTCTGGATCTAACTGGGATCTCCTCTGTAGGGATACCCATATTTGAACTGTCACCCCTGTATGTTGATAACAGTTCTCAGATAGTTTGGAAGTCTCTCATTTCCTTTTCCCTAAAGCTGAATAACCACCAAAAATATATCAGAGTTCCAGTTTACAATCCCTTAGAGCAAAAAAATGCACAAGGTGAGCCATGACTTGCAATGCAAAATCCTTCCATCCCTATGGTTCTCTGCACTTCCTCTTTACCTCAGTACGGTGTCCAACTAGAGTTTTGAAGCAATGCTGGGTATCCAGGTCCCACCATTTCACAAACGTGTCTTTGCCACTGGAACAAAAACAAAAACCCCAGGTCAGGAAGAAAGATTGCTAGAGCGCGTGGTATTACATAAGCTGAGAAAAGCTGAAGAAATACAAAACCTTAAACATGTTGCAATGTATCACTGACCAGCCTACAACAAAAGCAGCCGCCTTCACTTTGAGTTGCTTTTCCCAATGGAGAATTACAGCTGTTTTAGTTCCTCAGGGCTCCTGTATGATTAAGCGGCCTTGAAAGCTCTCGCTTGTGGCTACATTATGCTACAATAATGCTAGAAGTGCACCAGAGAAAAGTAATTTGAACATTTATGTATACAGCTTCTCTTCACCCTACAGCAATTAATACTTTTCTATTTTTCATAACTTTGCTAGAGCCAATTTTTTTGCTAATAAATTAAAATACAATTTTTTTTTCCCATTACTAAGCTTACTTGGGAAAAAAGAAAAATCACTACAGGTGATACTTATTGTCAATCCGTGCCTTTTGCTACACAGCAGTCTAAGGTAAATTGTACAGGTGAAAATCCAACAAAACCTTCTGCATATAGAGAACTGTAGTAAGCTTCTTATGCTAAAAGATTAACAAACAAAAAAAAAGTAACTATTTTTGCATCCTCAAAGACAAGATTCGAAATTGTATCAGGAAACCAGCATCATCTGCTAAAATAACAAAATATATTTCTTTGGCAAAAAAGCAAAAAAAGGACACACAAGAAACTTGTTCTAATTTTACACTGAACTGATTGAGTGCACCTATTAGGTGACAGTAAATACAAACATTAGTGACTGATATTTGAGCAAAAATATATTTTGTCAACTGATTATTACTGAAGGCACACAATCATTTTGCTGATGTTTAACTAAAAACCAACTCAGTAAAACACTGAGTTTAATTAATCCATTTAATTATTACCTATTAGGAAGCCATTTTTCTGTGACGCTGCTGCACAAGTTACACATACAGAACATAAGACTACTTAATTACTTATTTATCAACAAATGGTGGTATGCAAAATGAACACATTATTACTATTCATTGTTATGATAATTCTAAGTAAGTTAAAACCTTTTTCAAATGTTACTTTCCAGAATCTGCCATTTGTCTTCTGCTTAACATACCTGGAATTCAGGCATCAGATTCACAAAATGCGTGGACATGCTGGAATGTTTGTGAACTCATTTCTTCATCACAATATAATCACAGAATCACAGAATTGTAGGGGTTGGAAGGGACCTCCAGAGATCATCGAGTCCAACCCCCCTGCCAAAGCAGGTTCCCTACACCAGGTACTCATACAGGTCTCATACGTATGGGTGGGACTTTGAGTAACCTGATCTAGTACAAAGTGTTCCTGCCTATGGCAGGAGGTTTAACTAGGTGGTCTTTGAAGTTCCATCTAACCCAAACCATTCTATGATGCAAACAATCTCATCTTTTTTGAGCAGTAAAAGCACAGAAAAAGCTGTGTTTCTAGAAAACAAATACAAATGGCTACAGCACCTAGAACATATGAATAGCAAGTAAAAGTGATTATTCTTCTAATTTACTGCTACACTCAGCCTGACTTACCTGGTGACCAGCAGGTTCTTCTCCTTCAAGAAAAGGACTTGAGTGACAGCATCCTTGTGCCCTTTCAGCCGGTACAAACCACTCTCATTGATGACATCCCACACAATGACATCTGTATCCTGGAACAGATAAAGTGTCACCAAGGAACTGATTTCTCTCTACAAAATGCCTACATCTGCTATGAGACTGAAGAGACTACTTAAAATCAAGCTTTCTCACTCTGAACTGGAATGTTAAGGATGATGAACATAAACAACAGCTCCTCCATCGATGAGCATTCAGACCAATAAATGCACCTCTGTCCTGGCTTGGGTCACTTTCACTACTCCTGACCTCACAATCTTCTTCACCTTCAGTAGCTCTGCTAGTACCCTCCCTTCTTCTGAGCCCAAGATTCTCCCAGCCTCAAACTCCCTAACACTACTGCAGCTCCAAATCCATTCAGTGCCATCACAGCATCGTAGAATTATATAATGGCTTGGGTTGGAAGAGACCCCAAAGATCATCAAGTTCCAGCAGGGCCACCAACCCCCAGATCTGGTACTAGGTCAGATTACCCAGGGCCATCCCCTGCTACAGGCAGATGCCACATCACGCCCTTAAAATACCAAACATTTTAGCCCAGGTCAACTTTCCCAACAGATCACCTCTTTTGCCTTTTGTGAGAGGGCTTGTCCTCCTGATGTGCAGAGCTCACCTTTGAGCCGGACACCAGCCGGCCCCCCAGCTGGTCATACTGCAGTGCTGTGACCGCAGCCTTGTGCCCATTGAAAGCGACGCTCGCTTCCCCGCTCAGGAGGCTGAAGATACGGATCGAGCCATCTTCATAGCCAACAGCCAGGTGCAACCCATCAGGAGAAGGGCGGAGGAAACTGACTTCATGCTTGGAACCTTTAAGGATAAGGACCTGTGATTTTTAGGAGACAAAAAAAAAAAAAAACGTTGGTAAATGATACATCAGAGCCATATACACAAAAGAAAAAACAGAACAAGAGAATGTCCCAAGTTGGAAGGGTCTGTTAATGGTCTGATAAGGGAGCTCAAATCCTGGCTCCACAGAGTACCAACCAAAATTTAAACCCTGTCTGAGAATGGTGTCCAAACGCTCCTTGCACTCTGACACTCAGTACTGTGCCCACTACCCCGAGCAGCCCATTCCATGCCCAGTGCCCTATGGTGAAGACCCTGACCCCCAGCTGCCCTCCCCTGACAGCTCCATGCCGTTCCCTCAGCCCTGTCGCTGTCACACAGAGCAGAGCTCAGCGCTGCCCCTCCGCTCCCTGTGAGGAGCTGCAGCCGCCATCAGGCCTCCCCTCAGCTCCTCTGCTCTGCGCTGAGCGCACACGAGACAAACAAACCAAAGGAATACATTCTGCTCTCGCACTGAACTCCCAAACAAGCACTTTCAATATTCTTAAGGCCGTGCCGTCCGCCCCGCACCCGCTCACCTTCTCTCCTTTCCGCGCGTCCCACACGAAGACGTGCTCGCAGGCCGGCACGGCCACGCAGCGGCCCCGCTCGCCTCGCAGCGTCACGAAGGCGGCGTTGCCCTTGGCGCTGCCCACCACCCCGAAGAGCGCGGCGGGCGCGTAGCGCAGGTACTGCTTGGTCAGCCCCATGGCCGCACGTGCCCGCGCCCCACGGCCGGCACCGGAGGTGCGTCAGAGCCAGGCGGGGCGCGGCGGACGGAAGCGGAAGCGCTGGGCGGCCGCTCCGCTTTTCTGGGTGATGTCGGCGAAGCGGCGGTGGATTGCAGGCTCAGGCCGTGCGGGCGCGGCGCGGCCCGCGGGTGAGTCGGCGGCGTGATTGGCTTGTCTTTGCTGCTTACAGCCTGCGTTCGGGTTGGAGGTGGGGTCTGCTGCTTCTAGGGGTTTTTTTTTATTATTATTATTTTTTATTTCTTTTATTTCTTATTGAAATATATTCTCTTGTTCCTGTTTCGGAACTGCCGTTATGCGGGTGCTGCTCTGCCAAAGCTGTTACGGATGGAAGATCGTGAATAAGAGGTGCCTGTGCGGCAGATGAAGCTGAGTGTCGGGGCGGGTTTCATTCGCTAGCCAGGTTCTGCAGAAGTGTAGCAGCCCGGTGTTACCTGCTAGTAGCTGGGCAGAGCTCGGGTCTTCATCCAGCATCCCCGGTTATTTCTGACCTTCCAAAAAAAAAAAAAAGGTCAGATGGCCTTTCCTATTGCGTTTTGATGCTAGATTTCTTTTTTTCTTGTTACAGGTGTTTGGGGTTTGATGGAGTTTTCTTGATGGTTGGGCAGAGGTGGAGGGAGCAGGCACTTGTATTCTTTTGTGCTTGTTTTTAAGCATAACCCTAAGCCTGTTCTAAGGAATAATCATGCACGCCCTGCAGTAAATTTGCTTCTTTATAGGAATAAATAGTCCTTTCTAGGCTTGGGAGTTTGCTTTCTGAGTTTTCAGAATAAGAGATCGCGAATCAGTTGGACCAGGTTAATAGAGAAGGTGTTTTTTGTCATGCATTGCTTAAAAAAAAAAAAGTATTTGCCTTGTCCTTTGCAATACAGATCACCAAACTAGTAAGGAAGAGAAGCTGAGTTGGAGATAATTCTGTCAGTTGTAGTTGTGTTGTGGTCTTGTGAAAGGTCTGGCTGCACGGGAATTGCGTTTTGTTAACAGCTGGTGACCTGGTTTGGTTTCCTTCCCTTAAGCATCCGGAAGACTCCATTGAGAATTGGAGTGTGACAAGTTAACAGGAGAAAAGAAGTTGTTCCTTCCATTCCATGGATCCTTTGGGTGCTCCTTCCCAGTTTGTGGATATTGACAGTCTGCCAAGCTGGAGTAATGTCCGTGAGGCTACCCAGGTGGATTCTTACCAAAATCCTGTTGAAAAATCTCAAGTCGATGTTAGGTCACCTTTTCCATACAGGAAAGACCTCAATGCAAAAATTGTCTTGTGGTAAGTTCCATATGGCTCTAGTGTCTGTCATCACTTCTCCATTTACTGCTTCCTACAATGCTATAGAAAAAAAGCTTTCAAGCCCTCTTTTCTTGAAACAAGCATTACGGATCTGAGAGGAAAATATTTTTTTTGTTCACGGGAAATCTGCAAATCTGATGTTTGCTATGCTATATGTTGTAAATAACACATTCATAGGCATTCCTTGATGCAACAGACCAAAATTATACTTCTTGCTGCCATACTGGGTTTTTAATAATGAAACCTGGCCAGGTGCTGATACTTTTTAAAATTTATTTAAAATATGTACACTTGTTGTCTACCTGTTTTTTTCCTTTCCTTTGCTGGCTTTATCAGTATTTTTAATGTGGTTCTTTTATGTGGTTTGCTTGGTCCATTTTTTTGTTTTCCTTCCTCTCTCCATTCTCTATCTTCCTGTCTCCATGCGTTTTCTACCGAAATCTATTCACCTTCGTGTGCTAAGGTGAACCTACTCCATCAGTTTTTCTTTCCTCTGTATCAGATACTCAAACCTACTCTCTAGATGAGTAACTCTGTTAAGCAGTATAAACAGAGGAGGAGTTTTCAGGGTGCAGATTCAGGGATCAGTCTCTTTCCCGGCTCATGCATGCAGGACATAAGGCTGTTTGTGGATTTCCTGAACCAATCAAAGAAATAAGAAAAACTAAAAGCTAAACATCTGCTGTGACTTGGATTTGGGTAAAATAAGCTTGTGCACTTTGAACTGTCTTTTGAATCTCTTTCTGTGCTTGGGGATTGTTTCCCTTCCTATGCTCTTTGATTCCAAAATCTGTAATGACTATTTCTGTGACAAAAGGCAGGTCAGAGTTCTGCTGTTCCATCTTCTTGCATGGATCTCTGCATTGTTTATCTTCTGCTTGTCTGACCCTTATTCAGCAGTGTCAACATGATCAAACAGTGAGTTCACAATTTTGGAACAAAAGCAATGAAGACTTTTCTAGTTGCAGCGTTACATGAGATCTTCACTGAGGAAGACCAGCAGTGAGGTGCCCTGGATAATGTTCCTGCAGACCAACAAAAAAAGCAGATAGAAATATTTGTTAACACTTAGGAAATAATACACCATGTGGACTGTCATCTTATCTCTAAGATATGAGACAATATGTCCCACTTTTGGAACACGTTACATTCTATGCTGCTTTGCATGTTCTGCTGACTAAACCACCCTACACACAACTACAGCACTGTTTTATGTGTATATCCCTAAGTTTACTGTTAAAGTTAAGAATTTTCAAGGAAATGAAGGATCATGTGCAGTCAGTCTCTATCAGTGACAAAGGATGATTCTGCACGGTGAGCACATCAGGGTACACTACACTCTGTGGGAACTGAGATATTGCTAATGCTTTAACATATCACAGACAAACAAGGAAATGCTCATTTGAGAATATGCTGCTTAATCTCACATGTAACCTGCAATGAACTGTTTCCTCAGGAAAGGAGACGTAGCGTTACTGAACTGTACAGCCATAGTGAATACAAGTAACGAGTCTCTCACCGATAAGAATCCAGTATCTGAAAGTATTTTCATGCATGCTGGGCCTGACCTGAAGGATGAACTTCAGAAGCTCAAGGGTAAGTAGCAGAAGATGGTTTTTCTTCTGAAATCTGCAGTCCTTGCATAGTTTGAGGAATCGCTATTTGGGCATGAACTAAAATCAGGATGCAGCTTTTTCCTTTTTTTCCCTGGTGTCTGTTATTAAGGTGAAATAAAGAGAGGAAGATAGGCTCACGTATACTCCTCCACTTTTGTCATTCAAATTACAGATCATTGAAAACTTTTGACAGGCCTGCAAGTTGCTGAGCACATACTTTGTGTTACAAGAATTCCCATTATTATTTGAAGCTACTTAGAATGGCTTGCTCATCTGAGCTTTTACTGTAGTAGGGACCTGTCTTATATAGCTTCAGGTTTTGTTCTTGCCCTGCTTGGTGAGTGGAAGAAATAAATTTAAGTTTGCCATTGCAGGAATTGAGTGAGTTTCAAAACAGACAAGTGTATCCTTTCTCTTCCTATCTTTCAGGAAGTAATTTATTCTCAATGCCTGTAAATAAAAATGAGTGTTTGGGTTTTGGTTTTGTTTTGTGTGAGGAATCAAGAGTTTATAGTTATCCAAGGTCATACCAGAGTCTTTGCAGTTAATCAGGTTGCAGTTAAAATTAAGGTTGCTCAGAAGTATGGTACTGAGCTGGATTTTGAGACCAGACTGATTCCTGAGTGATACTGATTACTCTATTGGATAGCAGCTATAACTCTTTGTCATGTAGTAACAAAATGGATAGAAGGGCATAGTATTTTGTGTACAAGTTCTCAGTGGCTTAGACTGCAATAGAATAGATATCCTATTCTGCTCATTCAGCTTGTTCAGCTGTTAAAAAACAGCAGATGTTAATTAGGATCCTGCTACATATATTCATTCTTCTGAAATAAACTTGTGCTTCTTTCAGTTCATTATGAAGTGGGATGGGAGGGACAAGGTTTCAAAGAGGCCTTAAAATTCAAGGACTTTCAGCTCTATAGGAAGTTCTCTGTAAAAATTGGGCTTAGTTCCTTAAATTCCTTTTGCCATCCTGAACCATATGCGGTTTAGATTTAAAAAGTGTCTGCACTCTTTAATGCATGCTACAGATTTATTTCTCTGTTTTTGATAGTTTTCCTTCAGTCTTGAGATGGGATCCTTTCAGAAATGAATTCTTTTCTGACTGTATACTGATTGGCATGTGGTGTGGGAGAAGAAAGAGAAGCTAGATTATGACTTTGACTGTTGTGGACTCTTTAATATGAGTTTAACAGTAGCAGAAACAGAAGGGGCATTGGATAAGAAACTAGTTAATCATTCATCAACTCAACTTTCTTTTTGTGCTCTTTTTTTCTTTCTTTCTTTTTTTTTTTTCTTCCATAGATTGTTCCTGATGAGAAGTGAAAATGCATGGGTTTTAGTCTAAAGCTGTAGAATGAGTGTAGTGGTGATTTTCAGCTCAGTTATTCCTAATTCTCTCTCTTTCATATGCATATATATATATATTTCATACAGTCCAAGGAAAGTCATGATTTTTAAAGCATGTGATATGCTGACTTTTGAAGAATTGTGCTTTCTTTAAAACTTCTGTGTTCCTGGGAACAGTGTAGTTTCAATTAACAAAGAAATACTATAGCCAAGGGCTCAGACTTGCATGTGAACTGCTATTGATATATGCTTTCCTAAACCACACATGCTTGTTGCAGTCAAATAAAGACCTTCTGTAATAGCAAATCCTAGTAATCTTCCAATTCCAGTGTGGCTTTTTTTCCACTGCATGCATTTTCTCCACTCTAACATTCCAAAGTACAAGAGGCTGCTGTAGTGTTTGAAATATCACCAGGTAAACAATAAGATTTCCCAAACCTTGATCTTGCGCAAGTCACTACTGGCTCACCTCTCTCCATGTGTTAAAACAGGAATTATACTTGCTGCTTAATTTAGTTTTATAAATTTTGTAGAGCTCTCTACATAGAAAGCATTGGGAAACACTAAGTGTAATGTCAGTGTAGTTAGAAATAACTGATTCTGCATCTAGTTGTCTGAATGTATTAGTTTCCCTCCAGAGTTCAGAGCTGTACCTCAGGCTTGCTTCATTCTTTTCTAAAAGAGAAAATACTTAAAATTATTTTTATTACAGGTCTTGGGTTGCTCCTTTGAGTTTGTGTGACTTCAATGGACCAAAGAGAAGGAATAGAATCACAAAATATTTTGGGTTGGAAGGGACCTTTAAAGATGATCTGATTCCATCCCCCTGCCATGGACGGGGACACCTCTCTCTAGACCAGGCCACCCAGAAACCCGTCTGGCCTTGAACACCTCCAGGGTTGGCTTTTCCAGGCAGCCTGTTCCAGTTCCTCATCATCTTTGTTGTGAAGAATTTTAGCATAACAACTAACTGAAGTCTTCCCTTTTTTAGTTTAAAGCCAATTAACCCTTTGTCCTATCACTTGATAGAGTCTCCAGTTTTCTTATAGGCCTTCTTAGGAACTGAAACACTTCTGTAAGGTTTCCCTGGAACATTATTTTCTTCAGGATGAACAATTGGAGCTCCCTCAACCTATCTTCGTAGGAGAAAATAGCTTGATATTTGATAAAATCAAAAGAGTAAATGTATCTACTAATTATCCCACCTTGAATGTATCTAGTTGCGCTCTCCTGAGTTGAAGCATTTCAAAGGATGTGCAGTAGTTTGAAATATATGCTTGGTATGCTGTTGTGTTCTTCCTTCTTAATCCAGAAGAAACAAAGTGGACATCTGTAAAAATAATGACATGATTTGTAAGATTAAAAAAAGTTTATGAAGAGTTAGCGTAAAGGAAATGTGTTGTCGCTGTTAAGAAGGTGTGCTGTAAGTCTTCAGTAAGATTCTCAATCTGAAACACATCTTGCCATAAAATATGCTTTTAAATGCTGTGATACAGCCTGAGCACCATAACAAATACAGTGGAGAGGGAGAAGAGGTAAGCATTCTTGTTCAGCATGAAGCTTCATAATTGACTTGAGCCAAGTTGTAGCAGTTCTACTAAAAGAAGGGTTGTCCTAGCCACTTGTTCATATTTCATTCCTTTTCATGGGCAATAGCAATCTATAAGATCAGGTTAAAAACTATTCCAGTGAAAAGATTAATTTTCAGTCAGGCCTGAAAGCTTAAGTGGCTCAGTGCAGCTGTACAAGAAAAAGAAAGAAGGTGGGAAATGCTCCCCCTTGAGGGCAGGGAAGGAGGACTGAAAGGAGTACTTCATCTGTTCAGAACCACAGTAGACTTGATTTCATGTGAAGTGACTTAGTTGAAGAAGGGGGAAAGTTAGCAGACTATTCTTCCATGTGCCTTTCTTAAAGGAAAGACAGACTTCAAGCACCACAGCAGTTCCTGGATTTTTTTTTTATTATTATTATTTTTTTTACCCAAAATGTCTTGACAGAGTGAATAAAGAGCAAGGGCCTGTGGATGTCTTTAAGGATTCTGATAAACTGATTTCCTAACAAAAGACTGCAGGAGTTACATAGGACTAACTTGCAGAGACCTGCCAAAGAGAAATGTAAACTAAAGTGAGGTAAAGGTGTGTGCTAGCATGTGGAAAATGCTACTAGAGTATGTAACTGGAGGGTGCGGGAAGTAGATTAAATGTGTTGTTTTAACTTGGTTGCCTTCAGGTTAGACATCTGGTCTGTCAAGAAAGGTATGATCTCCTTTGAGAATCATACTTTTGCCTTGTGGACACTAAGAAATTAGCAAAACAATGAATGGAACCTTGTTCTGGGAGCATAGGTGAAATGTGAGCTCGATCTTTTTCTGTTTTCAGGAAGATTTGCCAGCAGCTGTAAAGATTTATTTTGGATAAAAAGACTGCAAAGCTCCTTAAAGCAGTCTCCGAAATCCAAATAGTTAAATTCTGAAGGATACTTGTGTTGGTGTTCTCTACGTAGCATAGTAAGCACTCAAGACAGCACTTCCAGCAATTTATGGTTTGTCTTTATATGTATAGTTTTGAAAATCAGGAGGAATCAGCAGAGCTCTTACCTATTCAGCATGACTAGGTAGCTTTAAGCAGCTGCTTTGGGAGATAGAGAGAGCACTATCCTTAATATTCGATAGCAAAAAGTACTGATTTTTACATGTGAAGATGAAACTTGTCTGATTCTAGAGAAAGTCAAGAGCTTGAATACTTCTTTCTTTTCATGACATTGGTGCAAATCCTTGTTCGTTTGTTTTTTCCCAGGATGCAGGACAGGAGAAGCTAAACTCACCAAAGGATTTAATTTGGCTGCACGCTTCATCATTCACACAGTTGGACCCAAATACAAAAGTCGTTATCGTACAGCAGCTGAGAGTTCTCTGTACAGCTGCTACCGGAATGTCCTGCAACTTGCAAAGTAAGCATATAGCAGCAGCCATCCATGGCACATCTTTTTCTCCTTATGCTTTGGTCTGCACAGAGATCTGAGCTGGTTCAGGTCTTGAAGCCGTGTAGTTAGAGCTGTGCGGTGTTCCTCCATTCTGAGGAGAAGTAAATAATTGTGCTGGGCTCCGTGCTGCCAAAAAGGTTTAAAAGAATTTGGTCAGGCAGCAGCTTCTTGTGTCTTTGTGCAGCCATGTGAACATACCCACAGGCACATCTGACTGCTTCAACAGTGCGTATGTTTGGCCTGTCTGCTTTCGTACTGTAGCTGCAATTCTGTGTCAGGGTGCAAGGTTATTTCTAAATCAATATTTGCTGCAGGTGAGTTTGTAATTCTTCCTCTCTTTCATCTATGGTGTTTTCTACTTCCTCTTACCTAACAGTTCATCTTTATGTTTTCTGCTTTTCTGTGTTCTGTTCTTCTCCCATGATGGCTGTTGTAATGATAGCCATCATTTAAAAGAAAAGAACAAAACTTGAACAAAAGCAGTGTCAGGAAATATACTTTATATCTATGTAAGGTTGGGAAGATCAGTTCACCCAAGTCTGACTTGTGTGTTACAGTGCAGTAGTAAGTGTTTTGTAATCCAGATTGCAGCTAAAGTTTCTAGTGCATATTGTTATTATTGGGTTTTGTTTGCTTGTCTTTGCCTTAAAATTGATGAGCAAAGTCAGAACTGGATTTGAGCATTCTATGAATAATGAAGAAGTATTGATAATTCTGCTTACTAATTTGAGTGCCTTTTAGTCCTTCTATTATCTAGAGTAACTTCTGACGTTTATGGAATTGTTGTCTACCAGCTCTGAGCTAGTTCAAACTCCTCTGACTGTTGACTGCACCTTTGCTTTCCTTTTCTAACAATGTGGCACTTTCCTGTTCTTGCTTTTCTTAATGTATATGTCACTCCATGCCAATGATTGTCAAATCATAGCTATGACCAAGTAAGCCATTTCAGTCAGAGTCTGGATTACTGACCCCCCAAAAAAATACATACAAGGTCAGGTTAGGGAATAGGGTATTTGCAGTGAAGAGCACTGGTTTTGTTGTTTTTTGTTTTTGTTTTTTTCTCCTTTCTTTCCCTTACTGTCAATCCTATGCAGGAAGGAAAGTTTTGGAAAAGATTACAGGGAAGCTGATGGAAGAACTTTCTCATTCAGGATGTGAGAAAATGCAGAAACAGTGTAGCTGAGGTAGAAGAAGAAACTGAGAACAAACATGAGGGAAAATGGTGTGGAATCATTAATGGTTCTCTCAGTTTCTGCTTAATGATGGTAGGCATGTGTCTTTCCAGGTAAAAAATTCTTCTGAGCAAACCTAAAGGACATTACTACTACACAGAGGCAGGGGATAAATACTGGTGTTATCTACTAGATTGGTGAAGCTTTGTTTCCATCTGACCGTAGATGATGCTTCTATTTATTTATTTCTCTTTCTGGATTTCAGGGAACAGGCAATGTGCTCTGTAGGATTTTGTGTCATTAATTCATTGAAAAGATGCTACCCCTTGGAGGATGCCACCCACATAGCACTGCGTAAGTCTGTTGGGAAGTGACATAAATTCACTGGTAGTATTCAATAGATTGCTCATCTCTGCAGCCTGGTGTTGATACAGGAAAGGTTCTTTTTTAGGGGACTGTGATGTGTTAGAGGAGGATATAAAGAGGCAAGCTTTAGATGGGTGAACAGAAATGGAGGATAAAATCAAATGAGCTTTCTCTGAGAGGTTGTCAGTAAGCATCTGTGAGAATTCTTGTTGGAACTTCTACTGTTCGATGTGTTCATTACTGAGCTGGAAAAGATGCTGAAGACTAAGATGAGCTTGCTTGTAATTTAAAAAAAAAAAAAAAATTGTCCACTGTCTATCCTTGTATGGTTCTGCCTTCACACGATGGGCTAATGCAGGAGAGCTAAACCTTGAGACTGTAGTGGTTTCTGAAAACATCAGCTTAACAGAGTTCAAAGGAACAAGCTAAGCAAGGCAGAACAAAACAAAGGACGTTATGCTAGAAATGTGTGGTTTATCCACTTCTGAAGTTGTGTGTTGGAGGAAAAACTACAAGTTCAGAAGAGGTCAACAAGAGTAGGCAAAGGCAAGGAATAGCAAAGGCTAGTCATCTTCAGTCTGCAATACATTGAAACTGATGGGTGTATCTGTAAGCTCACAAGTGGAATGAAAACGGTGCATAGGAATCAGCTGTTTGCTGTCTCTCAAACTGAGAACTAGGAACTCTAAAAGGATGCTAATATGAACCATATTGAGAAAAAAACAAGGAGAAATGTTTTTGTTTTATAATTGCATCATTTGTTGTATGGAACTTATTAGAATAAATTTTTGTGGATTAAAAAAAATTCAAGTTTGGATTCAAGTATATCAATATGAAATTTAAAAATGAAGGTTACTAGAAACAAACAAACAAAAAGTCCTTGGCTGAAATGACTTTGTGTGTTTTTGCATTCTTTGAGAAGAATATTATGTATTTGCTTAGTTCTTACTTTTCTGCCTTTTTGATTTCTATTGGCCTGCTCCTTCTGTCTGCATTCCATTTATAACCTTTGTATGCTGCTTTAGCATAGCTGACCCTTGAGTTTTTGTGTGTCTGATTTCACTTTGTACCAACTTCTATATGGCTTGCTGTCAAGCTGCTTCTATGGTAACTGAGGGAACCATGACTTGTTCTAGGGACGTCTGTTTTTGGCAACTTGCTTAGAACTCAAAAGTCCTTCTCCAAAGGAAGGATTTGGCTTGGTTTTTGCAGGGTGCTTGGTTCGTGTTCAACAAATTGAAGTGTACCTAGTAAGCTAAAATCACAGATTCTTAAATTTTCATATCCATTTCTAAAGTGAGAAGCAGGAGAGAATGAGGATGGAATTTGCGATATGCCCCATTTCTTGTTAAACCACCTCTTAATCCATGTTTGTGTGCTGCCCGTGATGCTACTTTGTATAAGAGGGGAGATGTCTCTCTCTATTCTGCACTCCACTGATTTCCCTTGCTTGTGGTCATATGTGTGTGTTCTTCTAACTACATTCATTCTTCCTTGCAGGCACAGTTAGAAGGTTCCTGGAGGTTCACGGGGAGACTCTGGAGAAGGTTGTGTTTGCAGTCTCTGAGCTTGAAGAGGTATTTTCTTGAAGTTCATTCCATCAAAATTCATAGGCATGTGTGATCTTCTCTGCAGCAGAATCAACTCCCACACGGTTTTGGACTGGGACTCCCACTACAAATCATCCTGTCTCACTTAGACTCTGGTTGTACAGCATCCTTCTGTTTCCTGCCAGCATAGCATCTTATCCAGCACTGCTTGTATTTCTAGAAGTCACCATGTTCAGTCTCTCCATTTCTGGCTTGCCTGTTCCTGAGCTATGAACAGGAGTCAGTATTAGAGTTTATAGTACATACTTGTGTTGAATGTGTTCCAGCAGCTAGAACACAGATTTCTTGTGCAAGGCTTGCTCCTTATACAGTGTTTTTGTCTTGTGCTTTTAAAAGATTGCCCTGGTTTCCAGTATAACTCACCCACAAATCACATACAAACACCTTAAACATTGCTTGCTGGCTTGTTGAAGTAACAACCTTGATATTTCTTGACTTGTTTTCAGATAGGTGATAACACTTTGAATATTGATTTCTCAATATATATCAGCCTTGCTAGTGGTTGTTCCTGTGGAGAACACCAGCACCATTCATATTATGTTTCCTCTGGATGAAGAAAATAAATAACTTAATGGGGATTTGTAGCGACCAACTTTAATCTAAGCATTCTTTGACTCTGTCATCCATGTAGATTCATTACAAAACTGAATTACCTACTTCCTACCTGAGTTCATGACTTCAAAGCAGGATCTTCTCAGTGTGGCAAAAAAAAAAAGAACAAGAAAAAAGAAAAACTAACTTTAAGAAAGGCTATCTGCTTTTATTGCCAAGTAGCAGCCCAAATTAAGCTATCCAGGGAAGCAGTGGTTTGCCTCCAGACCTCAGAGAAGCTCCCTGCTATAAGGGCAGGTGTTGCATGTCTGAAGAGTAAGGATGCGTGGTGGACCTTCACCCATTTTTCTTATTTGTAGGCCACTTACCAGAAGTTGATGCCTCTGTATTTTCCAAGATCTTTGGAAGAAGAGATACAATCCTTGCCTTACCTCCCTGCAGATATTGGTAATGCAGAAGGGGAGCCTGTAGTACCAGAACGGCAGATCAGGATTACTGAAAAGCCAGGTGTTCCAGATGGTGAGTTTTTAACTGAATTTTGGAATAAGGTCTCTGTGTGAAAGTCAGGGAAAAAGAGGAAAAAGCGCATAGCAAGCAAAGAGATGTCTTCCCAGAGCACCTCATCCAAGACAAGCTGTAACAAAGAGAATTGTCAAGCTGCCTTGTAAGCTTCGCATGTTCCACAGCAGCAACTTCTGCTTTCTGCTTCGCTGTGGAGGGTGTCTGGAGGATGTGGTAAATCTGTTGTTTTGTTTTATTTTTTTGGAGGGAGAGATAGGGTGTTCATTCCTTCTGCAGTTTTTCTCCTGAGTTGGTTAGGACTGTTTTTTCCCCTTCAGAATTGTGCCAGTCCTTGACTGATACAAGCATTGTTGTAAATGGATTTTCACACACCATGTCTTGAAATGTTGTCTGCATCTTGATCTGATTTTTGTTGTCGCTGGTACTTAATGAAAATTAGCAGAAACTCTAAAAGGTAGAGGAACTAAATAATTCCGGGTGTTTGAGAAGTGATTGTCAAACGCTTAGGGAATGAATTCAAGTTGTAAAGAGGTTGCCTGAGTTTCAGGATTGGATGTTGAGAGATGAAAATTAAAACTGTGAATGGACTTAGATGTCTTCCCCATTAAGTAGTCCTGTGAAAAGTTTGCACTTCAAGTGAGGCCTTAAGCTATGAAAAGCAGAGAATTCAGAGTAAGTTTAAAAGGTTTTATGCTTTTGCATGGCTGGTAGCAATAAAGCTGAGTATGCAAAAAGGATACCAGTAACTTAATTTTCCTGTTTGTGGTACGAGTTATAATGTAGCTACTGCTGTTCAGACTGCAGTTTCTTGTTTGTTTTCTTTTCCCCTCTCTACCTAAACCTCTGGCTAGTGATGTTTGCTCCTTTGACTGATTGCTGTGAGACATTCAACCACTGGCTAACAACTTATGAAATGTTTGATTTAACACATATAGGGGCAAATGTGTGGTGGAATCTTGTGGCCTTTTTCCCATTGTTAGTATAGCATGTCGTACTAGAGCTATGAAACTCAGTTATTATCTGAACTGCCCAGAGAGGCAGTACCAGAAGCCTCAGCAGTTTTCCTTGAGGATGTCAAGTTCAGTGAAGCATTCTCATATTGTTAGCAGCGAGTGAGCCTGTGCTGTTGTACTTCATCTCACAGCCAGGTAGCAGATAATCAAACTCAGGTTATCAACTTGTCCACAGCCTCTGTTACAGCAGTGTCAGTGCAAAAGAAGACCTGAGCCTTTCCCGCAGTAGAGCTTCTAAACTGAATAAAACTGCAGCACATGTCATTCTGCATGCTTACTTTTCCACTTTTGACAGCTAAGACAATTGTAAACCTAAATCACTCTCTCTAGACCTTATTTTTAGAGTCCTTCTGAGAGAGTTATCTGTCATTCCCTTTGTTACAAGGGGATAATTACAACCTGCAAAGTTATTTTACAGACAAACCAACATCTTAAGGTTAAGTCTGCAGTTCTCAAGTATGTGTTATAATCATGGTACATTGTGTTCTTTGTGTATCATGATGAATGGGTTGGCTCACTGAGGTACAGCAATTCAGAAGCAGCACTGCTGTTTCATATGCTGCTTGAACATTTTATGCTACCTTTGTTTCTACTGCAGATGCTTCAGATGAAGAGGGGCTGGAGGCAGATTTGTCTTTCATTGGTTCCCATGCTTTTGCCCGCATGGAGGGAGATGTTGATAAACAGAGACGCCTCATCCTTCAGGGACAGCTGTCAGAGGCAGCACTGCAAAAACAGCACCAGAGGAAGTGAGAATTTCCTTGTCTGTGTGAATGTTTTGGGTTAGCTAGTTGTTCACAGGACCAACCTTCATGTTCATTTCATTACCTGTTAAGTCTGGTTTCACCCTCGGTCTCAGTAGCAGCTTCTTTGTTCTGAATGGAATGGGTAGCAAAAGGAAAGCCATTGAATCCACTGGCATGCCCAGTGCACTGGAACAGCTGGCTTGGCTTTTTGCCACATGATGTCACTGCTTTGTCACCACTGGATGTGGTGGGGTCACTGGCTTTAGTATTGCCTGCTTGCTTCAGAGGCTCTGGGCAGCTAGCAGAAGTTTACCTCTTTGTCTCAAAGTAGAAAGATGAAAAAGCTGCAGTATCCATTTATTTCTCTTCTTGTTTTTTTGTTTTCTTTTTCTTCTGCCATTAAACTTAATGTACCTGACCACTTTCAAAGAAGCCAATCCAATATTAGAGGCTGTTGAGGAATTATGTTTGCCATTCCTAGTCAAATTGTTCACCACTCAAAAACTAAAGTAATACCCATATATGACTCTGGTTGCTGGGTACAACTTCTAGACTCCTTTTCAAGAATTGTATTGTGTACCAGCAGTTGCGTATTCAGTGCCCCAATAAAACTCTTTAGATGAGTCTGTGAGCACTTTTTTTTTTTTTCCCTCCCTCCCTGACACTACTTTTGCAATTTGAAAGAAGCTCCATTGGTCAGAAATCCATGTTAAGAGAGTTTGTTTTGTCCTTCCCTCCATATATTACTTCAGGCTTTTAATGCCAAAGGGGGAGGACTAAATTTGACCAGATGTCTTTTTTTTTTTTTTTTTCTAGTTACAATCGTTGGCTGTGTCAAGCAAGAGCTGAAGACCTCTCTGACATTGCTTCCCTTAAAGCCTTGTACCAGACAGGTAAATTCAGGGTACTGATGACTGATGTATATTGCCATAGGATAAAAGTACAGAATAAAAATGTAACATTTTCTGTATGAGTACAACATATAGTATCATCGAGCTAGGTCAGTGCCTCTGTAGTAAAGCAGGCGTTCTCTCTTAATTGACTTTAGAACTCTGTGTGGTAAACTCCCAAAAAGCTTCTCTTTAACAGGCTGAGGATACTTGCATATTCTAGATTTACCTGCAGAATGTAACCAGTAACATTCTGAAAGGAACAATGAACTCAGTGGGAATGGGAATATGAAGAACAAACAAAAAAAAAGAAATGTTCTGTGTTCAGCAACAATTATAGAGAGTTGCAGTTATGCTTTCTTGCTAGCAGTTTTTATGTAATAAGTACCATTAGATTAAGCCAATTAGAAGGTGCTCTGTGTGAGGTAATTCGTTGCCTGATCTGAATAACCTATTTTCTTGCAAATAAATGAATGTTGCTTTCAAGTGATTAATGCAGAGAATGAACAGTAACCAAAGCAGATTTTGATGCAGTTTCTCTGAAGAAAGAGTCTTATTCCTTTTCCCTCAGTTTGAATTTGAGTCACTCTTCCCTGCATCCTCCTTACAGCACTACTGGTGTAGTAACCTGAGAAGTATATCTTATAACCTTGAGTTTGGTAGATATGGAAATTAGGGAGAGAATGAACATCCTGATGAGTTTGGTGGAAAGTATTAGCTGCTAGATCCTTGCAGCACGGGAAGCAGAAGTACGTTCTCGTTCTTTTTCTTTAGGTGGTGTCACATTTGAAGGTGAAACTTGCTGGTCCTAGTGGCTTAGTACTGCTTTGCATCATGACAGAAAGAAGCAAGTAGTCAAGCTTTTAAAATCATAGTTGTGTTTACATAGCCAGTGGCTCTGCAGAGAAAATGTACTCAGAACTTTTGCCTCCTGAAACTCCAGATGCTTACCATCATCTTTACACAAATACCAAGGCTGTGTGATACCTTTCACTTTGTTTAATTTTTAATTATTTTGTCGTAGACAAGGCGTGCTTTGGGTTGGTATTTCTTGATTTAGGTAAATGTCATGTGCACAACTGATGTAAAATTATATTCCTTGATACTTAAGTTTCTGGGGTATGATGCAACTGCCTTTTCTAGACCAGCATAGATTGGCATAGTGAGAAATAACTCTAGGATAGTTCTTCTGATTTCTGAGATAGAAACTGGAGGCATTGTGAAAATTCTGAGTTGTGTTTCCCTGGTTTAAAAAAGGAACAGCTTAGGAATCTGACATGGCTGGGAGATCTTTCATCATGTTATTTTTTTCTTGTAGGTGTGGATAACTGCGGTCGCACAGTGATGGTAGTTGTTGGAAGAAATATCCCTGTAACATTGATAGACATGGAAAAAGTAAGACTTTGTAAAACTAAAGTTGTGTAGATTGAATGTGACTTTTGAGAGTTAGATTACAAGAGCAACTTGGAGTTAATACTAGAAGTGTTATGTGTAAATGGCTTAAATGAATCACAGAATGCTCCAAGTTGGAAGGGACACAGAAGGATCATCAAGTCCAACTCCTGGCTCCACACAGGACTACCTAAAAATCAGACCTACATCTGAGAGCATCATACAGAGGCTTCTTGAATTCTGGCAGGCTCAGGGCCATGACCACCTTACTTCCCTGGGGAGCCTGTTCCTATGTTTGACCGCTCTCCTGGCAAAGAGCCTTTTCCTGATATATTCATGTCATTCCCTAGGGTTCTATTGCTGGTCACCAGAAAGAGTGTAGATCAGTGCTTACCCCTAAAAAGTAACTGAAAAATATTTACCTAAACAGATCAAAACTTATGCCCTATATAATTTTGTGTATTTTGGGATGGCTTTTCTGGAGAAGGAACTGGACTGTATGCAGAGAGACATGCCTTACATGAACTCATTTTTCTTCTCAAAGAGACTCACCTTGCTTCTGTAACTGGAAAACACAAATATAACAAGTCAAAATAGTTTTTCATGAAAACAGCAGGAATTTATCTCCATCTGTGAAGTCAGGTAGACCAAAAAAGACTTTCAAATGACTGCAGTCAAGTTAAAGATTTGGAATATTCACCTTGCTTTTGTAGCTCAAACAGAATGCCATGCAGTTTCATAATTTCTCATCTGTGAATGAATTAGAAGAAGCATATCAAAATACAGTGCAACTGTGAAGGAATTATTTTCAAAGAAATAAATTCCATCTTTTTTTTTTTTTTCATCTCAGGCTCTTCTGTATTTCATCCACGTCATGGATCATATTGCAGTTAAGGAATATGTGCTAGTGTATTTCCATACACTTACAAATGATTACAATCAACTAGATTCTAATTTCTTGAAGAAACTCTATGATATTGTTGATGCCAAGTAAGTGTCAATATGAGAATAACCCTTCTGTTCTGTGAAAATGTTTGCCATTCCTTTTATCTGTTTTCCCATTTAGTTGTTGAGCTGGGGCAAAGATCTAAGTAACAAAAGCAAGAAGAAGGAATATTTAAACTTTTCAACTCAGAACGATATTTGAAATCAAGAAGCTCTGTTCTCTGCCATCTCCTGTCTGTAGCTGTTACAGAAATAAATGTATGGAGTTTATTGTCTCTCCAGAAGTGGAGCTTTTGGAGCCTGACATCGTTAGAAGTATGTTTCTAGTTGTGAGGGAAGAGGCTTGGGTAACATTGGCAGTCGTAAGTTGTCCGTAACTTTCACTGTCCACATAAAAGATAACAGGCTATGATAATAAACACTAATAATTCTATTTTTTCTCTTTGCATTTAGTCCTAGTATGTGCCCTTGCTTATACAGGATCTAGCTTTTTAAAATGTCAGCACAGGCACTTAAGCAAAATGATCTGTGTTTTGACAGTTGCTGTCTCGGTGAACATAATTAGATGTCACTTTTAAAGAGCTGTTTTTCTTTTTTTTAAACCAGGTACAAGAGGAATTTGAAGGCATTATATTTTGTCCACCCAACATTTCGTTCAAAGGTGAGGTATATAGTAAAAAGAAAAGAAAAAAAATAACAAACAAAAACAACATTTTGGATACTGGCAGAGTAGCATGTAAAACTGTAGTGTAAGGAACATAAGTTATATAGAGGCTTTCAAAATTAGACAGTATCTTCTGGCTCCATGAAGAGAATTTGAAATCCATTTCTGCCTTTGATCTAGTTGTAGTCTTCCAGCCTACAGTGCAGTGCAGTTGTCTTGTTCCTGTTTTGCTGTGTATATCCTTAACAGAGAAATGTGTCAAGCAGCAATGAGATTACTTAGGATTATAGAGTGTGGAGTAGCAAAGGCAAGTGGGAATAATACTTTTGTCATATGGAGTACTGAAAAATCCTGTCTGTGCTTTAGGAGATGAAAAACTGGTCAAACTGTAAGTTGCTGTCCTTTGCTATGACCTGTGTGGGGCAACAAAAGATGGCGCTCTTTCTTCTGTATTTTGCATCTGTGTGACTACTTCAAATGATCTCAATGTCAGGCAGCAGCCCTTCCTAAAAATTTTTGTCCTATTAAAAGATTAGAAATATGATCCTCCATGTTCACATCAAGTGTATTTGTTCTACTTTTTTTTTTTTTTTTTTTTTTTGCTAACACTGATGAAAATGTGATAAAACTATATGTTTCTACACGTTCAGCAGGGAGTTCTCAACTGCTGAATTTCTGAAGATTCTTTTTCTGCGTGTACAGCTGGGACACTGTGAGACTTGGAGCTTCTTGTCTTTACACAGATGAGATTGCAGCCTCCCAGCAGTGTATTTTCCATTTTCTGTCAGGATTATTGTTTGTTTTCCCCCTATCACTCAGACTTCAGATACGTACAGAATTAGAGCTTCCAGCTCTGATGCTTCAGAAAATGAATGAGCAGACAAACAGCATTACTAAAGTTCACAGAATTGAGTGGAAAAGCTGAAGCTGGGAAATGCTGGTGTTCCAGGTTCCCAGCAGTACTTTACCCCCCTCTTCTCTTCCTATGCAACTCTATTTGACTGGGAAATGTTTTGTGTTGGAGGAACTCGGCAGATCTACAGGAGAAGCAGATAGTTGGCAGAAAGCAGGGAGGATGAGAAAGACAGAACTCTGACTTGCTGGAAATGTAATTGGTTTGTACCCAATTCTAGCAACACAGCTGGAGATAAAAGGATATGTCAGTGTTATCCTGACAAGCCATTTTCTTCAACTGAAAGGAAGAAGGATTGCTGCTGGCTGTTGCAGAGACAGCCTGCTTATGAAATATGCTATAGGATATGCAGCAGAAAGTCCTGGTGGAGATGGTGACTGCTATTGAATCCTGGAACAATGAGTGGCTGCTGTCTTTTACAGTTGCAGTGTTTATTTCTGTGCTAAAACAGATAAGAGAGACTTGGAAATTCACATATCCCTAGAAAACAAGCATTGTTATGAATGTACTTACATACTTCATGATGCCAAGAAACATTGTTTGGTTTCTAGATATGAAACTTTTAAATTACATATATTCCAAGGCTGACTGCTTATCTATAACACATGGTTTTAAGTATGCAGGGTTTAGCAATTTCTCAAAAACATGAAGAAGGATATTCCCTACACAGTCAATTTTTGTAGGTTAATTCTGCCTTTTGCTTATGCTTTGATGTGAGTGTTTTTATGGTCTGTGAGGAACTCAATTCTCTTGAGTGGTTTTGGAAAGTAACAATTTTTACTGTGAAATCACACAACTGGCCACAGTAACAAATGTCACTTCATCTAACTAGAAGGGTTCCTAACTTTCATCATGAGAAGCTTTCCTTCATTCATGAAGGGCAAATGGAGTGGACCAATTCCCAGTTTGTTTGTTTGTTTGTTTTGGGGGGGGGGGGGGGGGGTATTTTGTTATGTTTCGTTTTTAGGTTATCACAATTGTGGCTGAGTGACAACTTGTGTTAAGATACCCTTGAAATACTATACACTTTACTCTTGTACATAAAAGTTATTGCTCTAGCTGTCTACATGTGAATAAAGGGCTCTTTGGGCATCTTTTTTGTGAGTTCTCTCACCTCTCCATTCATCGCAACAAAGCTTACTAGAATCTGGTGTGTTATGAGTGAAGCATTAGTAGGTGGATGTTGAATAACTGTACCCAGAGAAATTGTTTACATAAGTTTAGTAACTTGATTGTGATTTTGGAATGTTTTAAAATTGAAACACAAATTAATATTCATAATCCTCATCTCCATTTTCATTATGAGCCATTTTTCTTGTTTTTCTGTAATGATTATAAAAGCCATTTCTGGCAGTCAGAAATGTATACAAAAGTTGTTGCAGACTACTTGCAGCTTTTTCCACACAAGATCCTTTTTCTTGTAATGAAACTTTCCTATTGTAATAAGTTTCTCTTAAGGTTATGACCCAACTGAGAGATAGCATATTTTATTTGTTCTATGCTGTTTTCTGGAAGGAAAAAAAAGAGTTGATACTTTTAACCCTGTGGTTTTCTACAGTAGAAAATAGGGAACTTAAATTGGCAGCTAGGGAGGAGCTGGTATGGAGTTGGACACACTAGCTTTAAAGCTCTAAAGCTTGCTGGGAAACAATGGTGTGTACTGTTTGACCTTGTCGTGTTATTGCAATTATATCAGTGCCTCAGTTTTAACTCAAGCCTATTTTAAAAATATTATGTTGAATGGTAAGGCTTTGAAACAGCACCATCTTAATTAGTTTTTGTTTGGGGTTTATCTTCAGGTCTCAACATGGTTTTTCACTACCTTTACTGTCTCAGGGCTAAAGGACAAGATCCACTATGTGGAAAGCCTTCAGCAGTTATTCAGAGCCATACCTCCAGAACAGATTGATCTCCCTCCTTTTGTTCTTGAGTATGATGCCAGGGTGAGTGACTTCATGTGGCAAATATCTGTCTGTGCTCTCAAGTGTACTTATTGTGTGTCTCTTGTTCTGGTCAGCAAAAGCTTTTAAAGGCTTGATTTCCACATCTTAAGAATGAGGAAAGCAAAGAGAATGTCTAGTTGTTCAGTATTTTGTATGTACTCCAAGGAGTGGGCTTGACCAAGAAGCAGACTTCGTTCCCAGTGGTTTCAGCCTCCTGTATGCATGAGAGAGACTCTGTTTCTTCAGCCAAGAACTGTACCTTAACATGCTAAGAGCCTGTCTACAATATATAACTTGTCATGCATACGCTATATAATTTACACCTATGTTTTTTTTAAAAAAAAAAAACTGTCTTTTTTTCTTTCCTATGCCATGTATGGAGTACATGGCAGGGGTGAGTGGGGAAGCAGCAAAGAAAAGTGGAAATCAAGTAGGGAACCTTGCCACAGCATTGGTTCTTCCTCCTTTCTTCCCCATCCCGGGTCTCTATCCAAATGGTGGAATGAATATGATTTCCACTGCCCAAGTCAATTCAAACAGGTTGTGTTCTAACTACAAAGCAACAGCCAGAGCTGCATAGGCAACTTTGTCTTGAACTGAATAACTTGCTCTCCTGGCATTTTTGGCTTCCTTACATCATAGTAGTAGGCTGAATTTTTGACTTGTTGTTGTTGCTTGTTTAAAACAGAGGCAAAACTAAGGCCTGTTTTTTTCTGATCATCAACACAGTCCTGTCCTGGGTGAATTGTGGTCACTGTATTACAGAAGAAGCAGTCAGGAGTACCTCTTTGTTTTTGTCTCTGTATTAGCATCCATTACACTGAGGTGTATTGGAGAAGGTTTTTGTTCAACTACTTATTCTATTCTCATTTCAGGAAAATGGGCCTTACTATTCTTCGTATCCTCCATCCCCTGACTTGTGATCTGCAGTCCTGCAATGCTGTTGGTTTCCCATGGATCCAATGACCTGATGTCTGCCAAAACCTGTGCATTTGCCCACAGAATTCAGAGAGAGGGTTTTCCTTCCCCAGCTCTGGTATTTTTTTACTGATGAGATATTTTCAAGCACTCAAGCAATCAGAACACTTTATGCCACTGTGAACTGTACAACTATTTCAAATATATTTATCCAATGGTAAAGTTGATTTTTTTGGGATCAGTATTTTATTTTCTTCTTTTTTGAAGCTGTTACATTTATTCCTGAACAGACTTTCTCTTTTCAGGGAGATCCATCAAAAACATTCGATTGTGTTTACAACTATTATAGTTTTCCACATCCATTTGTGTTTGTACCTGTTTTTGACTGGTTTGTACAAATATTGTGCAGTACCAGCCTGACGTATTGCTCATTATATGGTTTCTATGCTTTCGTATCTGGTCACTTTCCCTATTGGTTAGTGATGATTACTTTGGTTTTGATGCAGCAAAAGTACCTGAAATTGGGAATACCGTGTTTGCAGGCTGAACAGAACACTGCAGCCAAGCAAAGATTACTGCAGCACTTAGTACCAGAAAAGCTGACTGAGCTAGGAGCCTGATACAGTCCCAGTCCATCTTCAGTGAATGATGTGACACGTCAGGATGCCACTACCCTCCCAGCAAGAATAAAGTTGAAAAGCGTTTACACTTCCTTTATACTCTTCTAGAGTTCTTCATATCTGCTTTGAAATGCCGGATGTGTTTCTGTGATACATGAATACATCTTTCTGAATTGGTGGAGAGGCCAAGTGGTTTCTTAGAGATATCAGTGACCCTTTTACTTGTTGATATGCTGTTTTACGTATTATACTGTATGACATCTGATTTTGACAGACACTGTATACAAGAGTGCAGCAGTGATATTTATGGAATTGGACATTTAAAAGTCTTTCAGCTGCCAACAAAAAGAATAGGGAGGAGGCTCTCTTTAAAAAAAAATATCATCAGGGATGATGGAGTCCACTGTAGGAAGAATGTCACAAAAGTTCTGAGTATGAAATGTCATCATGAGATCTTGTGAGTTTGGTTAGTCTGAAAACATCTCTTTCTCCCAAAGCACTGTATGTTGTTTGGATAAATAGGAAAATAATTCTCCCTTGATTTTGATGTGTAATTGAAGTGTCACAACTTGTTTGCACTTTGAGGGTTTTGGCTTTCTTGTATTAGGAGTACAGTGGAAGAGGGAACTACACTGAGTTTCCTTTCTCTCCCACCCTGGCCTCCTTTTGGCTTGATGTTGTGTTTAGGCTCCCTATACCCTCAGCGTGTTGGTATGTCAGTTACAGATGAAAACTTGGCTGGGATTTAACAGTCATGCACGTACAACTTAATAGTGCTTCTCTAAGTGGCTAGCAGGATCTTTATGCAATTCCATTATCAGATCTAAGGTGCTGCTGAAGGCTGGAAACTGTAGCACAGTGGAAACCACCTTGCTGTTAATACGTGGATTACAGATGCTTCTTTTGATGCTTGTCTGTTGTTTTCTGAGAGAGGGAAATAGCAGCAGTCAAGCTGGAACAGCTACCACATGTCCCTAACCTCCTTTCACCTAGCCGTTTACAGCTGCCCTTGTCTCCTAACTGGTTTACAGCCAGCGGTGAATTTTCCATGCCTCTCTAACGATTTGTATAGCTTTCCACCCCCATTAACCATCTGCTGTTTTTCACACCCATGGCATTTCCACCAGGACATTTGCAAAATAGCTAGTGCCCACTTAATAGGCACATTAAAGGTGATTCAAAGTATATTGCGAAAACAGAGCTCTCAGCTTCATCAGTTGAGGCCGTCCCCATGCCTTTAGCTCACAGATGGCTCAGAGTCATAAGACCTGAATGCTTTTTCTTAGGACTCTGTCTGCACGTTTTTCAGACCCGAGCCCAGTCTTTTTAAGAAATTATTTGGCTCAATGAAGTGCAAAACTGTCTCTGGTGCATTTGCAAAGTGAAAAAGGAGATCTTGGCACTGTGTATCTTATTGTGTATATTTTTCCCTTGAAGGACTTTGCTTTAATTTTTATTTTTTTTAATGCAAGTCATATATCTGAGCGGCAGGACAGACCAGCACTGTGCTGTGAAAATCATGCTTTTTTCAGTGGATCTGCATTTGTGATGATTTACCACTTGTATATTTACTGGAGCCTATTAGAAGTAATGTATTATGGGGGGGTGAATGGGGAAGGAGATCAAATCATTGAGGATCTCAGGTTATTCAGTATAATTAAAATTATCCTAGTATACAAACTGCATTTGTTTTAGGCTGAGATAAACACTGGCATACCATAATTAAGGGTGGATACAATGTGCTCATCTTAGAGAGGCCCAAGAGGACACTCTCTGCACATCTTAACTCTTAGTGTTTTAACAACCCTACCCACTGCAGAATTAAAACTCCTGATGAAAGTCTTGTGCCTTGCTTAGACTATTTCGAACCATCTGTAGGCTCACAGAGGGAGTCACCATAGGGAAGCATATTACTATAATTATGTGAGCATTGTTTTTGCTGCTGTAACTCCCTGTGATGTTGACATTAGACTGACACAGTTACTGTCAGTGAAACTCACATGGAGCACTTAGGCACTTATTTGTTATTAGCTATACCTCTTCTGAAAGCTTCTGAAATTACTTATGCTGTTTTTAGATGTCTTTGGGGCCAGGTTGTGTCAAGCTGATGCCTTACTAGAGTCAGGTGATTCAATCAAAGTCTTTCTGATTACTTGCTGACATTGGCCATACTGAATTTTAAAGCAATTACCAAGGCTGTGAAAGGTAAAGCATTTGGTAGCTGCCTCTGTTCTTCCTGTTGCGTTTTGCGCTTTCTTCTTAAGCAGCTGCTGTTGGGAATAGGAGGTGGCAAAGAGTTGAAGGCGAAGTCAGAATGTCAGGTTTGTGCAGGAGATTGAGGTGGCATGAATTAGTCACGTATGCTTGAAATTGAGCTGCTCTTTTCCTTCATTCTCCTGCTTTCTTAGAATGAAAACAGAGCTGCTGAGTTTTTCTGGCAACTTTGCTTCCCTCATAGTAGCCTAAAACCTTGTTGGTTTTTTTTGTCGTAAATGTCTCTGTTGCCTTGTCTTTGTCCTGAATTAGACCTTCTCTCTAGTCTATCCCTGAGCACTTATGTGGCTGCAGTGCTGCAAAGGATTAGCATCCAACTACTGAGACCAGACACTCCATGTGAAATTAATTTAGATGGCTCCGCTATTCAGCAAGCTGATATCAGCCTTTCTCCTTTGTCAAAGTGAAAAACAAGAGAAAATCTTGTTTTTCCCCTTTCTTTGGCCTCTCTGGGATGAATCCTATTAAATCTGTGACCAAGCAACAGAAGCAATAGTCCTCATTTGAAAATTGTTTGCACCTCTAAGTATATTACAGACATTCCTGATGATGTTGATTCTGGCTAAAGGAATCGTAGTGAATTCTGTTACAAGTACAGGCTTGGGAGAGGAAGGGGCACTATTCAGCTACATTTGAGGGAGTAGTGTAGGAAGCTATCTACCTGAAACAGCTCAATGAGTGATCCTCCAGGGCCAAGGAATTCAAACCTTAGTATGTAGCAGCTGCCCCAGTGAATGTTTTTTTCAGTCTCCCATGGAACAGAGATTGGCCCCAAGTTAGATAAATGACTGAGTACCCAAACCAAAAGCCTCTGCATTAAGATCAGATGAGGACATGGATGAGCTAAAGCAGCCCTGAACTGCAGTGAAGCAATGAGAAACAAGCAAACCTGCTGCAAAAAGCTATTTCCTTTCTAAGCTGAAAAAGAAAAAAAAAAAGAAAGATGTTTTATGCTTCAGTGCTAGGATACAGAGCCCTCTGAGTTTGTATGCTTTAAACAAAAGCAAAGTATGGGGTGGTGGGTGAGTGTTCTGTCTCATGGAGTTCTTCCTGTGGGAGAAGGGTGGAATGCTTTGCAAAGGTGAAGGATGGCAGAGATCAAAATACTGCAACCCTAGGCCTTTTGCACTGAGTCTGACTCCTTTGACTACCAGATACCTTTCTGATAAACCTTTGACTACTTGATTCTAGAACCTCTCTAAAATATTTCAAATGACAAAACCATTCACAACATGTATAAGTGGCAAAATTGCCAAGATTCCTAATATAATTTAGACATAGCTATAGGGGAGGTGGCTGTGCTTGGAAGGACATTATGTACAAAAACGAGGGGAAGGGGATTGTATTGGATGATCCACAGCAGCCTGCCTGCCAGCATAACATCTGTTTTTAATTGGCTAATCAGATCCTGTTTTAAGCCTTTCTCAGCTGTGCTTCCCTTGAAAACCAGATTCCTCATCCAGATGATGTAGGACTGTTTGAGATTTCAGTGCAGTTGAAACAAGAGCAGTAAAGCTTAAATTGTACTGCGTGCTCAACACTTTCACCCAAATTTTATGGGAACCCCTTAATCTAGCTGAAATGTAGACAGCAGATTCACCACTCCTCCAGTCTATCAGGGATGTGAAGACAAAAAGTAATAAATGCCCATCCCTGTGTTGTGAAAGGAGGAACATCTGAGGCATTGTGCTTCAATGTCTTCTAACAGTGATGCTTCTGGGTGGGGCTGTTTGTAGGAATGAGATCTGCTTCGCAACCAAGAAGTCACTAATGGTACATGAAGCCTGGGCCAGGTCTTAGAGAGACTGTCTGACTAAGTCTGAGGAAAAGGGACTACACCTGGACGAGAGACAGCATCCATACCCAATCTGCATTGTGTTCACATTAGTAATCACAGCCCTGACTCACGCTGCCTGCAGGGAGCTGCTATCTGCTTATGTGATTTTTCAGATCACTGATCAAGTTTGCTGCAGGAAAGTGAAGAGCTCGATCTCAGTCCTTTAGGAAGGTCCTGTAGCTCACTGAGAATATGGACAGCAAATGCTCAAAAGAAAGAGTGAGCATGATCATTTTGCTCTTGCTAGTTTCATTGTTTTGGGGTGTTTTTTTTTTTTGTTTTTTTTTTTCTGGAAACCAATCAAAAGCAGGCTTTAAAAATGGCTAATATAATCATTGACCTTTTAATAAAATCCTGGAGTGATATGCTTAGCATTTCTGCTGGGACTGATCATGTCACAAAGCTGTATGTTATATGCTCTGTATACCCCTGGCAGCAGATACCCTGCACTGTGCAGCTTTTCCCCACAGACACATGTGCCTGGCACCTTCAGGAAAAGAGGTTCCTGTGAGACTGGAATGCTTTGGCAGGGAGGGCCTGCATAGTTGCCATCAGCCTGAGTTGCGTATGCCCTGACAGATCAGTATCTGCTTGGTCAATTAGATTTGGTGCGCTCAGACTGCAGCCAGGCCTTTCACGTTACAAAAGGTACGGAGGTGACATTCACAAGTATGGCTATAGTGCTGAGCTGAATGACTTTATTGACAGGATTGTTCACAACTGTGTCTTGTTCACAAGACTGCTTTGATTTCTGTTGTGGCACTGAGAATGGTGACAAACTCATGTACTGTAAAGCAATACTGCACAAAATGAGATGGGCGAATCAGTATGGTGTCCTGCACTGGGACTAGGTGCACATCATACGGAACACACCAAGCGTTGTCCATTTGGTCAACTGTGCTTATTTCCTGGAAAGACCAGGTTTCCAACTCAATTTCACATTCTCACCAGAATATTTGCGCAAGGAGGAGGTTGTAACTT